ATTAAATTTATTTACTAATATACGAGAAATTGATCCTTTCAAGAGAAATCTATAATATTAAGAAAACAAAAAAGTTTGTATATAATAAATTATTATTTTAATAATTACCATGGTAATAAATTTCATATTGTTTGGAAATGCTTAAAAAATTATTTTATAATTTCGAAATATCTTTAGAAAATAATTCCATGTTGCATATATTACGAATATTTGCTCTTCAGACGGAACGACTTCCGCGAAGTTAAGATAGTCGTTAAAGTGAACGTGTAAGATCCTTGAGAAAATAGTCACAAAAACGGAAACGTCCACATGGAAACGTCCTTTAAAAAAGAAGAAAGAAATTTACACGCGAATTCTCTCGGCCGATTTGTCGGCAATTCGCGGAAACGCGAATTGACGAACAAAGCGTGAGAGAACGAGGCGGAGACGGCGCGACCTGCTCGCATTCGCGAGATGACTCGCGCGAATCGACGCGAGATTCGACTCGATTCCGAAGCAAATAGAACGTGCAGATAATGGAGATAGGCTAAGAATAGAGCATTTAAAAGGCGTAAATGGAGCGTGACGGACTCGCACGCGCGCGAGTGTACCGCGAGATAGCAAAGCAGCTGGAATCGGGAATTCGATCGCTTCGGCGGCAATATCCGCGCCCTGCTCTTGCTGGGTCCACGCGTTCGTGTTTCACGGAAGTATCACTTGACACAACTATTACGAAACGAAAGCGCGATAAAAATGAGCCGTCAAAACCCCTGACACGCGATGTTGCTGCTGCCTTTCATCGCCGATTTCTCTATTTCTCGTTCGCGTATTAAAAATTGCGAGAACATTTTAAGCGTTACCGAAAGAATTGTATGAATACTGTAACAACCTCTTTTTAAAACTAATAAAACTAACGTAAATTTGATGTCGAAAAAAAAAAAGGGGAATTTTCTATTGATGCTAAAGATGTTACAAATTGAAGATTCATTATGATTGTAATAATGTCAAATTTAGTTTGTAAAATTTAGATAAAATGTACAGCGTATGTGGCATATATAATTGTTATTTCTTTCTGACGCTAGAAGTGAGATGAATAAACAGAATACAGAATAATAGTAATCTTATTTTTAGCCTTTATTGAAACAGGGTAGATTTTCATAGTAGATTTATAACGAATTATTAATGATAATTTATAGCGATGCGATTGCTCTCCTTTACCCTACCGAAAAGTTATCTTAATCTTGATAGCATTATTATTCTAAAATACAAAAATAAAAATCATACTAATATTATTATCAGGACAAAAAAAAACATGTAATTGTATTTTATTAAAACATGAAAAAGTACACTTTTGTTCAATTTATAACATGATAGATGCAGATTAAATTTTAGAAAATCCTTCGATATGAAACTTACATGAAAATGAAGATATGAGTAAAAAAAAACTATAGTATTCTTGATCGAATAGTTTTTTATCTGGTGTAATATTTCAGGATTAAGTGAGCGAACTTTAGTAAAAAGTACTGCACTTGCCAGTAGTATTATTTGAACTACTACTACGAGTACATTGTACATTGAGCACTCTCGGAGTATAATGCGATGGCACCTGTCGCCGCCTATACTAATCTGGTTAGCCGAACGGCATCGATCGAGTTTGGCACCCTTTTGAGCCCGATCATTTAGTCAGCTATCAAAATAACACGCTCGCAATCGTTGCGTGCGTGGCACGTGCTTTCTGTGCGCTCGTAATACTCACCTATTATACTTTCCGTGTCGCAATGGCGTGCCGCCGAAAGGAAGGCCAGGGCCAAAGCCAAAGTCAGCGATGTCAAAGATAATCGTGTCAACTCCATGCTTAGGTGTAACCGGGCTTTTCTGGGATTTTTCTGTCCCGACAATTTGCTGAAAGAAACAAACAAAACGATCACGTTAGCCATGTGCCTCCACGCGCGCTCGTATTCTTCGATCGTGCAACAGAGTTGCAAAACACAGTTGCAAATTATAAATAGATTTGTATTTCCGAAACGCGAGCCAATGTTTGTATAGTAAAGAAACGCTTTCGATGGAGATAGCGCCATTTTGAATTTTCGCGCTGAATAATAACACTATATGTAAATAGGATTAAGCTTACAAAATAAAGTAAGTGAGTAATCTTGTTAGGCGAAATGCGAGCGTTTGATTTATACATATTCAGATCTTTGAAATAATTTTAAGAGGAAAAAGTTAATTAATTGTTGAGAAGTATAATGTACCCACTTTTCGCAGTAGAGTTTAAAGATATCATTAAGTGTTGTTGTTGTGCCGTGTAGCCTAACGCACTTCCGCGAGTTCCTCACTTGGACGCATAGATTTCCGCGGCGGCATAACTCAACGCTGATTATGTGCATCTGTTTAACCCTTTTGTCGATTATCCCCATTCATGTTTTTATGCAAAGCTGCAAATTGTTTAATCGTGCCGCAACCTTGGAATTACGTGGTGCTATCAAACTCGGACAATCGGAGGGAACATTTCACGAGGCGACACGAGATTGAGAGGAAAATAACGGAAAATAACGCGTGATTTGAATTATTCCCGTTAATCGGCAGCGTTAAATGCATTATGCATTATTCAACGCATTAAATGCACAATCTCCAAATCGGATGAGGTCTAACGAGCGTTGCGACGCTCGATGAAAATCGATGAAAATTCTAACGTCGAGGGGAATTCGCGTTAGCGTTTAACGTGGTCGAGGGTATTCGTCGGGGTATCTGTTCTCGATCGATTACGAAAGCAATATCTACACGACAGCAGTATCTTTCGTATGCAACGTGAGTATCGTTAAACCCACGACGAAATGTCTCTATGCCGGGTGAGGTGACTCGACAAATCTATTAATACATGTACACACGTATCGAGGAGGCGCGCATGCGGCATATCGATAGGCACGATCGTGAAAAAAAAAAAGGGGGAAACAAAAATAGAAAAAGAAAAACGATATGTAACAGTCAACCGACGGGACCGAGAGTCGAGAAATTTATGAGCCGATTCTTTCGATCGAGTGACTCGAACTCTGGGAATATTCCCGAACGCGCTGCACCGCACGAGCGAATAGATTGCGTCAAGTGCGAAGATAAGTATATTAATCACGCTCAGTTTTAGTTATTCGAGGCGTTTATTTCGAAAGTCGTTTAGATCAGCTGGGATATTTGAATCGCTATGCAATACTATGCCTATGCTTTCCTTCCATATTTACGAGTACGTAGATATGTACGATAGTACATATCTATGACAATTAATTAATGGAATTAATACGGTATGCTAATTCGTCACTGCCCATCTTCCCGTCTGTACACCGAGAGAAAAGTTTAGTATTTAGTTTTAGTACGAATAACAAAAATTTTGTTACTGACATTAACCATTTCTTGGTATATGACCAATTAAACCGTTGATTACGACCAATATTAATTCCTTGAATTTATTAAATAAATCATTGACTGATCGATTTAATGATACAAATCTGTTTTGTAATAGTGCAGTATATTATCGTTCTGTACTGTAACAAAAATGTTGTCTACCATAATAGATTATTTTGTAGAAATTATAAAAAGAAAATTTATTTTGTAATTGCAATTTTATGTTATTATTTACAAAATGCGAATAACCAAATAAAGTTGTGTTATCAAATCAAAAAGTTTATTCAAATTTTGTTTATTTAATAAAAAAAACTATATTTTGCTATTTTAATAAAATTGTCTAATGAAAAATCGGCTACTTGTGAACAATTCTCTTTTTTCGTTACCATCAGTTACCATTTTTTCTCAGTGCAATAGCACGAAATATTGGATATTATTATCACGTTATTTAAAAAA